CCGCAGTACTTGGATAACTGGGGCGCCAGACTGGGCTCCTGGACGCTGTGCTCCTTCATACTGGTCTATAGTGGTTTCTACCAGGCTGTACTGGTCTAGACTGGTTTCTACTGGTCTACGCTCACTCAGAAGCCAGCTTCATGCCACCACCTTCCCCCCGGTACTCGGATGACCGGGGCGTCAGAGGGGTCTACCGCCCTCTATACCCCTTCCTAGCGGCCTCTACTGGTCTGTACTGGTCTATGCTGGTTGGTACTCACTCGGCGGGCAGCTTGACGCCGCAGGCCTCGCCGCGGTACTTGGATAACTGGGGCGCCAGACTGGGCTCCTGGACGCTGTGCTCCTTCATACTGGTCTATAGTGGTTTCTACCAGGCTGTACTGGTCTAGACTGGTTTCTATTGGTCTAGAGTGGTTTCTACTGGTCTACACTCACTCGGAAGCCAGCTTGATGCCACCACCCTCCCCCCGGTACTCGGATGACCGGGGCATCAGAGGGGTCTACCGCCCTCTATACCCCTTCCTAGTGGCCTATACTGGTCTATACTGGTTTCTACTGGCCTAGACTGGTTTCTACTGGCCTAGACTCACTCGGCAGCCAGCTTGACACCACCATGCTCCCTCCAGTACTTGGATGGCCGGGGCATCAGAGGGGTCTACTGCTCTCTATACCACTTCCTAGCAGCCTATACTGGTCTATACTGGTTTCTACTGGTCTAGACTGGTTTGTACTGGTTTCTACTGGTCTACACTTACTCACCAGCCAGCTTGACACCACCACCCTTCCTCCAGTATTCAGATGACCGGGGCATCAGAGGGGTCTACTGCCCTCTATACCACTTCCTAGTGGTGTCTACTGGTTTGTACTGGTCCGTACTCATTTATACCAGTCTATAACGGTTTATACTAGCCTATACTGGTCTACACTCACTCGGCAGCCAGCTTGACATCACCACCCTCCCTCCAGTACTCAGATGACCAGGGCATCAGAGGGGTCTACCGCCCTCTATACCCCTTCCTAGCGGCCTCTACTGGTTTGTACTGGTCGGTACTGGTCGGTACCGGTCGGTACTCACTTGGCGGCCAGCTTGACGCCGCAGGCCTCGCTGCAGTACTTGGAGGGGGGCCGGGCGGGGCGGGTGCAGCCGGGGCCCAGGCACTGGCCCAGCCCGGCGCCAGTAACCCCTGGGGCCTTCCAGTAACCCTCGGGGCTTCCCAGTAGCTCCCAGTAACCCCCAGTAAGACCCCCAGCAAATCACCACGAGCTCACCTAGAGCTCCCAACAGTCCTCCCAGTAACCCTCAGGGCCTCCCAGTAGTTCCTAGTAACCCCCAGTAGCTCCCAATTCACACCAGTAAGACCTCCAGGGATCACCACAAGCTCACTCAGAGCTCCCAGCAGCCCTCCCAGCAGCTCCCAATGGCCCTCCCAGTAACCCTCAGGGGCTCCCAGTAACCAACCCTCAGGGCCTCCCAGTAGCTCCCAGTAACCCCCAGTAAGACCCCCAGCAATCACCACGAGCTCACCCAGAGCTCCCAAAAGCCCTCCCAGTAGCTCCCAGTGGCCCTCCCAGTAACCCCTGGGGCCTTCCAGTAACCCTCGGGGCTTCCCAGTAGCTCCCAGTAACCCCCAGTAAGACCCCCAGCAAATCACCACGAGCTCACCTAGAGCTCCCAACAGTCCTCCCAGTAACCCTCAGGGCCTCCCAGTAGTTCCTAGTAACCCCCAGTAGCTCCCAATTCACACCAGTAAGACCTCCAGGGATCACCACAAGCTCACTCAGAGCTCCCAGCAGCCCTCCCAGCAGCTCCCAATGGCCCTCCCAGTAACCCTCAGGGGCTCCCAGTAACCAACCCTCAGGGCCTCCCAGTAGCTCCCAGTAACCCCCAGTAGCTCCCAGTTCACACCAGTAAGACTCCCGGGGATCACCACGAGCTCACCCAGAGCTCCCAGGAGCCCTGCCAGTAAGCTTCAGGGCATCCCAGTAGCTCCCAGTAACCCCTAGGGCATCCCAGTAACCACCAGAACCCCACCAGTAGCTCCCAGTAGCCCTCCCAGTGACTCCCAGTGCCCACCAGAACCCCACCAGCAGCTCCCAGTGGCCCTCCCAGTAAGCTTCAGGGCATCCCAGTAGCTCCCAATAACCCCTAGGGCATCCCAGTAACCACCAGAACCCACCAGTAGCCCTCCTAATGACTCCCAGTAGCTCCCAGTGCCCACCAGACCCCACTAGGAGCTCCCAGGAGCCCTCCCAGTGACTCCCAGTCGCTCCCAGTGCCACCAGAACCCCACCAGCAGCTCCCAGGAGCCCTCCCAGTAGCTCCCAGTGCCTCCCAGTAGGCCCCCAGGCCCCACCTTTTTGTCCGACTTCTTCTCCCGCCGCTTGACGTGCTTGACCTTGACGGCGCGCTTGCGCAGGACGGGGTCAAGGAAGGGGGCGTCCTCGGGGTCGCTGAGCCACGGCTGCACGGGGACACGCCAAGAACACGCCTCAGCACCGCCAGAACGCGCCTCGCCACGCTTAAAACGCCCATTTATGGGCTAAAACCACGGCTTGGGGCACTCAGAAAACGTCTTTACACGCTAAAACACGCCTCAACATGCTTTAAACACCCATTTCTGGGCCAAAACCACGGGCTGGGGCACTTGAAATATGCCTTTACACGCTAAAACAGGCCTCGACGCGCTTAAAACACCCATTTTGGGCTAAAACCACGGCTTAGTGTACTTGAAATACATCTTTACACGCTAAAAACACGCCTCTACGCGCAAAGCCACACCTTGGCGCCATTACGGTGTGACTCCGACACGCTAAGAACATGGCTCGACACGGTTAACAAGCCCTGACACGCTAACCCCAGCCGCCGAACGCCCTAACACACGGAAAACACGCCTCAACATGCTAATAACACGCCAGCGGGGAGGGGGTTGGGGGGGGTTGGAGAGGGGGGACTGGGGGGGATTTGTTTCACTGGAACTGAATTTGGGGCATTTTGGGGGGATGTGGGGGCGATTCTGAGTCCCCGGAACTGATTTTGGGACATTTTGGGGCGATTTTGGGGGGATTTGGGGTCCCCAGGGGAAATTACGGGGATTTGGGGTCCCTGATGTTCATTTTGGGGGATTTTGGGGTAATGCTGGGGGGATTTAGGGTCCCCAGCCCAGAATTTGGGGCATTTTGGGGCCATTCTGGGGAATTTGGGGTCCCCCGCACCCATTTTGGGGCCACTCTGAATAGATTTAGGGTCCCCAACGCAGAATTTGGGGCATTTTGGGATCGTTCTGGGGGGATTTGGGGTCCCCAGTGCCCATTTTGGGGTCGTTCTGGGGGGATTTGGGGTCCCCAGCGCCCATTTTGGGGCCATTCTGGGGGGATTTGGGGTCCCCAGCGCCCATTTTGGGGTCGTTCTGGGGGGATGTGGGGTCCCCAGTGCCCATTTTGGGGCCACTCTGAATGGATTTAGTGCCCCCAACCCAGAATTTGGGGCATTTTGGGGCCGTTCGGGGGGGATGTGGGGTCCCTGACCTCAAACCTGAGAGCCCTGGGGGCGAGGGGAGGATTTTGGGGTGCTGGGGGAGGGATTCTGGGGTGCTCACCAGCCCGTGCTCGTCGAAGGCGCCGGCGCAGAGCTCCTGGTAGAGCCGGGGGTCGAGCGGCAGCTCCTCGTCCGAGAGGCTCTCGGGGGGCCCCGCCGCCCCCAGCTGCTCCTTCAGCAGCTCCAGCTCCCCCCCGCCCCCCCCCCCCCCCCGGGGGGGGGGCCGCGCCCCCCCCCCCCG